AATTTCTTCAATACCAACCTTTATCGTAAAGTCGTACGCTCCGGAAATTACACGTCCCCCATCGAGATCTAACTGTACACAACGCACTGCCGCTACGTGCCCAGTTAAATATTGCTCACACCTACCAGTTTCAATATTCCACGCTCTGACGGTTGTGTCGCGCGACCCGGAAACTAATCTAAAGAACCAGAATTTTGCAAATTTTTGGCAAGGACATGTCAGATATACCTTAATACACAAACTGAAAAGACAGCGCCACTAAAATGAAGGTGCTACTCACATGTTTCGGCATAGACTCATACATCGTACGGTACTAGTGTGCCCATGAAGTGTATGAATTAGAGAACCATCCTTCGCTGACCACACCTTCACAGTTCGGTCGGTCGACCCACTTATAATGTACTTTCCATCAGCCGATAATTGGGATGTCCAAACTCCACCAGAATGCCCCACAAGCGTAAAGAGCAGCTAAAAGAGCAGGGTCAAAAGGCCAAAGCAAATTGAACCAAAACTTGCATCCTTTACTATTACTATGTATTTACGAGAAGAACTGTAGTCTTCGAATGCTTTCTGTTCCAGTTACTGCACGAGAGCAGGTACAACATAGAACAATTTCAAAAAAAGGCAGGGAATGGAAGTAGAGGTACACGTAAAGATTTCACAAAAGCTATTCTACGCCCTAAACATCCTTCTCGCATAGCTCTGTCACTTACCCGTAAGACAGAGTCGATATATCCCCAACTTTATTACCTCAAGACATATACACGATGGGAGCACTGATACTTACCTTGCCTTGTTCGATACTCCACACTCTCAGAGTATTGTCGTCCGACCCAGTAACTAACATATCTCCTTGTATCTGCAGAAAACTGTATCATTCAAAAAACTTGAAAATCTTGATAATTCAAATGCATATACAAACCTGTAGGCATGTGATCACATGCTCTTCATGTCCTCTCAACACCATACTTCCACCTATTGGTAGTCGCCGCCAATTAGCTGCTATTCTACATCGTCTCAGATATGTAGCTTTCCAAAGAGATCGCGAATAAACACTGGAAAGCTGACCTAAGGTATTCAAAGAGATGGTGAAATATCTACCTCCCATAGCTCTGTTCCCTAGCCTTTCGATGTTGTTCCAGTTCAGCTCCTTTATAATGATCTACTATAGTCACACCGTTACCCATGGCTGTTTGTTCCCAAGCTCCAGCAATACGCTCACTGAAGAAAGAAAATAATTATAAATGACATGACTAAGATTTACGCGACTTTTCGTGTTTCCAACGGACCTTGGCACGGGAAGCGGTTCAAGCCCCTCCCGTTCACACTTCAGCCGCCACATCCGATCGTCTTCACATATGTCACGCCAGAAACGGGAGACTCGTGCAGCGCGCACGATGTCAGACATAGGTAAGTTCGCAACGATTTGTATAGCCAGCTAAGAAAGTATTTTGTTAGATGCGAATTCTATGACGCCGAACAAATCTTGTAGCATCGCAAATTCCATTTCATTATCCCTTAGGTCTATGTGATTCAGCACACGTGCGAGCTGTTAATGGCAATGAAGAGCACTGCCCATACTAATATTATGTCTATTAGTCCCTCAGCGCTCCTTGTCAACGAACTGCTCGCGGGTGAGATGTGCTTGAACATTCTTACTTTAGCTGGCTTTAGATCAAAATCCTCCAAGCTCATGAGATTGAAATTTGCGGCCTTCCGGGTTTATAGTCTTGGTAAGTTTCAATTTGCTATGACTCGAAAACATGGCATATAACACTTTGAGGGAGTTAGTAATTAATTAAGATATGAAAACACCACGCTATACAGAGCCAACGCAGTTCTGATCGCACAGCCAGAAAGCGCTCCACTCGACATACACCCCTTTGGTTAGATCTATTTATTAACTCAAAATTAGTGATACTTTTGTTTCAAATCTCGACATATGGTATATAACATCAACATCTTAAGCACTTTCTGAAGTTCCCTGATTTAATTTAAAGCCATAGATCAAGCCATATTTCTACCGTGGTACAGATACATTGTGTATAGTCTATCTCTCTAAACCTGATTCCCGGATGCTGTTTTGATTTCAAGCTTCATCTCATTTTTTTTCTGTGAATCTCAGTGCTTGCAAGTTGTTCGCTAAAACATTTTCAAGGTGCAAATCCCCTAAATCATGATAACGATTTTGTGAACAGGAGAGCACATACGGGTCAGGCCTAAAAAAACAACGGTTTAAAAGCTACAGATTTTTGTTCGCATCACAAAACAGACACTTCAAGACGCGCATATCTCGACAGCCTTAGATAAATAGCCCCTTAAATCTCTAAAAGCGCAGTACGAAGACCAAACCTCG